TACCTCTTCATGTTTCTAATTAATATAGTCAAAATATCGGAACTCCGTCCGGTTACGTCCGTAGATAGATGTTTCGATTTCAGTTTTTGAGTCTTCTTGTTGAGATATTATTTGGCTGAAGTCAGTCTGAAGTAAATTTACTACTGGTGTCAAAATAGTTTAAAAACAAATTTAAAAAATTGTTAAGAATGCTATTACAAAGATGTTCGTTTTTTGAAAAGAAGAGGAATTTTATTTATTTAGGAGAATACTTAAGCAGCGAATTCAAATCAAGTCTTTGAATACGTATTACACCAAAAGTCCAAACTGTTTCCACCTTTTTAGGATCTGCCAAAATTCCTAGTTTAAAGCGTCATTGAACTTTAAAAGGCTAAGCCAACATCCTCGTTACCTTCACACAAGGCAGATGTAATTTAATAAAGATTTCCTTAAACAATATGGACGGAAAATTTAAACGTGTTTATTTTGATAACGTACATATCTGCGTACGTATTTTCAACTGATTTTATGACTTGCTCTCTACCACCTGTTCAAAAGACGTAAAAGTACTTTAATACCATAGGTTTATTTACATTATATTGTTCTTAAGTTGGTTATATTTATTATCTATCTCATATATACATCGGAATACCCACAATAAAAGAAAGTACAAAACTACACAACTTAAATTGATGTTTTTAGGACGAATTTTTATCACAACATGTTTACAAGTACAAATATTTCTATTGCAAGTTTTGAAAATCCTTGTCCGTTTGTGGCCTGATGTGGGCATTCTCTTCTATTAGTCGAAACCTGACTACTGAGACGTAGACTACTGAGAATAATAACATCACTGAGCTACGCTTATCATCTGAAGCAGTTATTTATATAACTCACGTTACAGAATTTAAATCTTATCAGTCTTTACGAGATAAACCAAGACTCATCACCGACTACGGAACAGACCAAGGCTAATTGATCTCAAACCAGGAAGACCATCAACGAATTATGCAGCGCATTATAATAGATCGTATTTTGCGCAGATCGTTTTGCGCAATTAAAAATGGCGGGTGACGTCACGTTACGTCTCTTTGTCGTAAAAAGTATTGCGCTATATTTTGTGTGATGTAACATTTCAAAGAACAAGGCATTCAATTGGTAATAAGTATAACGTAATTCTTTAGTTCACGGTTTTCAGTGGGTAATAAAGATCGTGTTCAGCCGTGACTCTTAAAGATATGAGCGATAAAAGTAAAGAGCTAGAAGGTTGTAAAAGGAAATTAAAAAAATATAACATATTATTATAGCTGTAAAGTTCTTACACGTGTATTATTAAGTACTTAAAAGAGAGTTATTGTAACGCAATAAGTACTATACAGAGACTTATTATGTTAATTAAGACTTATTTAATATATCTTTAAATATCGTTAGTCGTGGACGTCTAATTTCCAGAGCGAATGTAGAGCATAATTACTCTCATTAAAATTAATATTACATACACATTTTAGTTAATAAACTGTATTTATTATATACAATTGCAAAAGACAAAGCAATTTTTTTAATTACATCTTGAGTAGGACGGAACCTTGTTACGTGTTATACATGTCGTTGTAAAGGTCAAAACTATTGTTAAACATAATTATTGGCAGTTTTTCTAAGGTTACTTACGATTGTTTAACTAGTAAAACACAGCTTCCGCAAACAAAGAGACATATCATTGAGAAAGGTTGGCGAATACTCGAGGTCAGTGGGTCAACAATATAATATAACAAGTGACTGAGTACGTGTAATTTTAGTACAGTCATTATAATATAAATGTCACTGTTTTGGCAAATAATTATTTCTATAGAATATTTTGGGTTTGTGGCTGTAATATAAGAATTTTTATACAAAATTTCATTAAAATCAGTTCAGCTTTTTAAAGGTCGAACAGGACAAACTAACAAAATAAATGTTGGCAGTCTTTTTATTTTCATAGACTTTTAAGCTTCAATGACTTCAATGGGTGCCAGGGAATAAGAAAGCTATAATATATTAGCAGAAGTATTAAGTTATTAGTCATAAGATATTTAGTAAGGAAAAGTTTATAACTACGCATGTACTGTAAAAGTATAACTCTTTTATTTTATGATGTCTTTGTAACTATATTTCTCGTTTACGCAAACTTCTTCCAATTACACTATTCTTACAGGGTCTTTCTTATACTGATGATAACAAGTAATAAAAATAATATAAACCCCAATATATCGATCACGTCGACAGTTTTCACTAAACAGGCACAAACATTCGTATTTTTACGCACTACATTGCACACGGCTTTGCTGATTTCTTTACTGCTTTGAAAATAAACCGATTTTAATTGTTCCTCGCATGTGAAACATAGAAAACAGATCTGAGTTAAAAATACAAAATCATACTAAGGTTTAACCAACATTCGGGGAATTTATTTATATTAGAGAAGGACATTAAAGCTTGTGGTTGATAGTAGGTGAAATAGCCCAGCTTTATAACATCTCAACAATATGTGCCGTCGACCTATTTTAACTTTAGATTTACGGAAATTCACAAACTGAAACGGAATAGCCAGACCAGACAGTGGGTCATGACCCGGACAGAGGTTCGATATTTCTACCACCCATTAATATCCAGATTTCCAGACGAAGAACAACATGTATCAGAAAATTTATAAATCGATGACATAGAGACCCGGAGCGGACCGAGGGAACGAACCCAAACCCCGTTGGTTATTAGCCATACTTTGCTTACTTATTAAAACATTTAACTGTCGTGCCTACTGTTACATTATTACCCAAGTCCAATCAAGGTGAATTTCATTCTTCCAAATGGGACATGGGCCTGACACATTTGTATGCCTGTCTTTCATATAACCATGTTTTTCTGGGATTCAAACCTAGGATAACACAATTGCAAGGCAATGCTGTCTCCACAATCCTAGACCCTTAGTTAACAAATTCATAATTACCAAGCTTTAAGGAGTTCTTAGGAGATCTCGCAAATACTCTCTCAAACACATCTGACCCATACCCCAAACAAAGATATTAAATATCTATACGAAGTTTCAGTACTAAGCAATAATATGCGTAATAAAATACAATCGCTATTAATCTTTTCAGTTTAACGTCTGAAGCCCGTCAAAACATACTGCGTCGTTGCAAAAATAAAAATAGATCCTGAAAACAGAACAATTCGTCTTTCTCGGAATCATCAACGCGTGCTGAAAACGGGGTATTGGACAGTTTAATTCTGATGGAACCCAGACAATGTAAAAATAACTAAGGAGAAAATGGTTATTTAATATTTATCTACTAGTTACTAGTAGACCTGGCAAACGTTCTTTTTCCATTCGAAGAAAGATGATTACCACAAAAGTGGTTCTTTGGATGAAAAATAGATTTATACACATTTTTTTGTTGGTATGTTAAACCGTTTTGACAGAAGCGAGCTGTGAAAACCTTCAAAGATTAATCATTTTCAGAAAAAAATCTTTGGAAAATCATAACAGAGTTTCTTTTTAACTCGCAGAAGTGTGATCAACTATTATTAAATAAAAGAGATCCATGAAAAGACACAGAAATATGTCTCAACTGCACTATATTGCATAAACTATATATTAAACACCATAAGAAGATTATATACACTACGTTGTATTAAATTGCATAGTCCATAGGCTCTGCGTAATAGTATAACACCTTTAGACGACGCGCTTTCTATGACATTATTAAATAACCTTTATAGCATTAAAGCCTTATAAATGACCTATACATCGCCCTTTCACTAAATATTAAGTTACCAAAATAAATATGTGTAGAAACGTAAGTGCTGGCTAGGTGTTCTGTATCGTTTATATCCATAACGAAAGCCAAAGTTCTGAAATTCACGGATTCTGAGTGAACCGTGAGACCCACCAATACGCAAATCCAGCGTAGTGGGCTTAAGCTTGTAAACCTATGACTTCTTCGCTTCACCAATGACATATTGATCAGATGAATCGGTTTCATTACTCCAATCACAGAATGTTCTAGAAGACGAAGCTCTTAATTCGAAAACGAACCATTAATTCACGAAAAAAAAACATTCAGATGCAAAACAAGAAAGTACTGTATACTGAATGAAATAACACATTTTTAACCTGTGACATAGGCTGCTGCAAAAATCCCAAACTTCGAGTCGTTCTAAACCGTTAAAGAGTGTTTTCGAAAATAATGTACTTTATTACTCTACACTGACATATAAAGTTTCGGTTACCGTTGCGTACGCCGCGAAAAAGGTTCAAGATACCCAAAAAATATGTATAAATGATTCCTCTTTAAATTATCGAAATAACAGTCCGCGACACTATAATATGTCTATCTTTTAAGATAAACTCGCAATACAGGACGTGACGATCGTGAAATTATTTAAATCTATAAAGATGACGAGAAGGCTTGCAAACACGAATTTTTGATAGCCAAAATAACTGTTTTACGGGAATAAAGACGTTGGCACTGCTAGTGCTGTATGTTTTGAATACTTATCGGCTACTGACACCGTTGTAATTGAAAAGCACTCTAGTTAATAATGTTTCCGTTTGTAGCAATTACGTGTTACAATATCGTTTAACTTATTAAAAGCTCGAGCCATTTAGTTCATTAAAAGTAAGGTCAAATTAATGAGTTGGGGAATAATTTTTTAAATAGTAATTAAACTGTACAGTATGTAGTAACATAGTATTAAAAATAACTCAAATAATTGTCTGTTGGAGTGATTTTGGTAATGCAAACTTGTTCTGCGAATTTTATACCAGGCAAATAGAAAGTATAAAGAGATTAGTGATATAGAATCTTTGGACTACATTCAGCTGAAAAAATGTTTGATTGTATTCTATAATTATCTCTTCGTTATAAAATGTAAGAATGGTTAATATAAAAAATAATTGTAATTTGAATAACTAATTATTTATTAGTTTATGTATGGTTTATAAATGTGATGTTTTATGAATGTTAAATGAAATGTCCACTTACCAACGTGCGAAAGGCCGGTGAGATCTGATTCTGAAATAAGAGAAAATTTTCGTGAATAAAAATGCTTATGAATCTGCGTGCGCACATGTACCTTTTGTGTATGAACATGACTTATATTACAAAACAAAATCTCCCGCTGTTAAGTTAACATATTTCGCGTTTTAAACCGTTAAAAGTATTTTACAAAATATTAGAAAACTGGAGTTGTATTAAAATTAACGTCACGTAAAACAATGTTTTATATAAACAATAATACTTAATTAACAAAAATAAACACAGTCAAAGTCAAAGATACAAAATGTATCTTCTAGGCAGAATTACGTTTAAAGTAATTTTCACGTATGTACTCTCAGTACAAAAAGATAACGTATTAATGAATCCGGAAATATATTTTTTACACAAATGCGGGCATCTGCTAGTACTACACAATCATAGAGGAAGTGCGGAAATGTCAGCAAAGAATATCATTAAAATGGCGGAAACTTCAATCGCGAGTATACAAAAAATATATCCTTTACAACTTCCCGATTCCTCGTATGATTAGTTACTAGGAGAACACGTATCGCGCTCTTGGTTCTTACCACTAATTTCGTGACGGTAGTTGTAAAAGTCGGTCAATAGCGAGCGAGGTGGGACTACACTGTTATTCCCTCTCTACGAGAGAAGACTATACTGAGGTACATTATTGATGGGAACGAAGTATTAAAAATGTTTAAAACACCTTTATCTACCATGGAACAATACAAACATAGATGAGATTCATTTGATGGAAGGTCTAATCCCCTAGCCATATAACATCTAAACAAGATATGCAAACCTATTTTTGGGTTTGGATATTCAGAAATCGACAGATTAAAGCTGAAACGCGATTATCCTCTCGGGTTTTTCATCTGTGAACGATAGTTCGTTGTGACCCGGAGTGAATTTTAATATTTCTACCACCGATTTAAAATAATGATCTCCAGACTAAGTCCAACATCTATAAGGAAAAAGAGAAATTGATTAGAAGCATGTTTTTTTTTATAATTTTGTCCATAGTGCTTAAACAGCTATGGACGGTTAAACAGGTATATTCCTCGGTCAGAAGGGACCTGGTCTACTTATTCACAATTATACATTATTATACTTATGCCAAACTTAACTTATTATTATTACGCTATCTATATCTATCTATCTTAAATTACGTTTTATTCGTTTATATTACTACTACTTCTCTGATTTTCTAAGAGAAGCCGGTCTATTATTTTACAGCAGTACTTAAAGAAGATGGGACGTAATTTTGTATGACTCACAAAGAATTAAAAATTTTACGGGGTTACTAATGTATTTGTCGCTGCTTCAACGTCCACCCTCGAACGCATGCTCACAGGGCATTCAGTCAGGCAGCGGTGATCGAATCATAGGCCATTGATTATTGGCCATGCATTGGTATCATTAGACCATCGAACCTACGCACTTATTAGCGACGTCAAGTAAAAACATAACGTAAGGATCACTTAAGCAATTATTATGACACAAACAAGTTAACACAGTAATAAAGAGTTCATTCAATCAACACGGAACAAATAATAATCTACGTCAATATCTCTCATAATGCACAATAAATTATTGTGACGCAAATGTATAGTCATTTTTCACAATAGTAGTAATATAGTAGGTATTTACAACAAAAAAAATGGCGTTAGCGTAACAGTTTTTAATTTGACATTAGACATCCTCCATTTTCAGTTCTCCCGAGACCATAGCTGCTGCAAAGCATCCGAAACGTCGGGGCGTAGTTGAGTTAATATATTTCGGTTTTAAAACAGTTAAAAGTGTTTTATTTAAATTGGTTAATATAAAATGATGTCGATAATGTTTACACGAGGGTTCGATACCCGATTGTGCATAAAATATTTCGCTAGTTAACATACCCAACGCGTGTCTGATAAAGAACATAATCCTAAGTGATAAAAACCGTATCACTAATATCGCGCTAAAGGCCTATGCTAGTGCCACATGTGGGAATTATACATTGAGTGTTTTTTAAGTACACATAACATACATATGTGTATATCTTTGGGACATAGGAAAGGCCGTTTGTGACGCACTTACTTATCAAAATTAAATGGAATTTTTTACTTTTCAAAAACAATAACAGCACAGATAACGTACTGCCTAAACGACGCACTGATTTTGTATTTGCGCGGATTATTTGCATAAACATGTTTATTTTTAAGTGTTCCAGTAATAATGATAAAATGTCATTGATAAAAGATATTAATGATTTATTATTCGCAGTCATGTGATAATGATCTTTAAACTCAAGATTTATTTATAGGAGGCTCGTTGATCTAATGGTAACAAAATATGGCTTATAATCGACGCGTTGTAAATTCCAGTTCCGTTTGATGGTACATATTTCTTATAGATGGTACGAGTAACGAAATTGCTTCAAAGTCACGAGCGACCGTCCACAGATGAGAAATCCGTCAGGTGAAAACAGGTCGATATCACATTTTGTATATAGATCTTATATGGCTGGGGTATTTTACTTTCCATCATATGAACCACGCTAGTCTGTACTTCTGTATATAAAAAAATATATTAATTATATATATATATATATTTTTTTTTATATACAGAATTGTTTGTTTTGTATATATATATTTCCGAATGTTGACATAGGGTTAAAATTGGAAAGATCCAGAGTAACATATAAAAAAAGCAATAACCAATGAAAAACTATAGTCATATTTTCTCCTAAGAATACCTTTCAGATATAGCTAGTAATATTGCTAGCAGAGTTGTAAAATCCAAAATTAAGATAATAGCAAAATCATTTAAGCCAAGTACCACGATCTGTTGACCCAAAATACTTCTATAATCTAATTTATAAAATGGGATCTCATACTAAAATCACTAGATCTCAAAAAACAAAATACCGGTAAACGCGAAGACACCGTTACTTTCGCCAAATACCAACTACGACGGAACAGATGGCGCTAGCGTAGCAGTTTTTACTTTGACATTCAGGACATCCTCCATTTACCCTCCCCGTAACCACGGCTGCTGCAAAGACACCGAAACATCGGGCCGCAGTTAAAATTAAATATGTAAATACGTAAAACTTATACATTTCGCGTTTAAACCGGTAAAATGTGTTTTATTTAAATGTATACATGTAGTAAAAGATCTTAGATATCTAATGGCATAGAGATTATCTGGCACGTGCCAAAGCATGGGGTTTCATCGCGAATTATCACGTTTTCCTTAATGATAAGGTAAATTGTGATACAAAATATTGTTGTGAGAATAATTTTCAATCATTTCATAGCTTTTGTAACGTTAGTCAGGCTATGTAAGAATTGTTATTGGAAACCATTATCTTAAATGAAATAGGGAAATAACGTAATGAAGAACAGTTATGAAAAGAATTTTAGCGTGAACGTTAATTTGGTTTCATGGGTAGTTACAACGCTGAACAGTAAGCACATTTTGTCTGTAATTAAGGTGAATATCTAAACAGTCTAAAACACAAAACATACTGCCACGCGACATCGACTGCTAAAAATTTTCCGAAACGTCAGATTGTAGTTAAAAATTACTTAATCAATAAATTCGTTCAATTGAATAACTGTATAGTTGCGCTTTGTATAACGCTCGCGCGCGTATAACGTTGTTAGTTTTCTTGTCAACGATACAAAACTTTGGAATAAAAATGTTTTCTACATTCATGGTATTATTTGATTTCGTGACACCAAATAATAAAATTTGTTCAGCTTTTTGGACTTGCAAGTAACTGCATATATCTATATTTACGAGATATGCAGTTACTTGCAAGTCTATATTCATGAATCTATGACCCATATGTAAAACTCTTATATAATGACTTATAATTACACATATCATCTAATATGTGTAATTATATAAGAGTTTTACATATTTAGTGTAAGGATTCATAAATAGTTAAATTTAGTAATCAGTAGTAACTTTTGGCATGTTGTGCTGTGGGTGTTATTGTCGCTTTCGCGTCCTTCCCGTTTCCGATAACACTCGACTCGGAAGGTTTCCATCATTTATCTCATTTGTCAAGTCAGGGGTTACTTCGATAACGTTTATGTCCCCTGCGAACGCTTCGAGTCAATATTGACATTTATTGACGCCGATGACGTCTCGCCAAGCTGAATAAACAAATGAATTCTTTGATTCGTTTTTATCTGTATGCTGCATTTGAGGACCTATCCAGTTTTAAACCTCTTTAGATCTATATGGATTGTATGTTACGTTAAAATTTAAATTAAAGCAATCAATAATCTTTTAAATGAAAACTTTTGACGGTTTAAAACGCTAAATACATTCCTTAACTTATCAATTATTTAAATGAACAAAGAACTGACGTTTTGGATGCTTAGTCGGCTCCTGCCAAAGTGCTGTCAAAGTGTTTTATTTAAAAGGTTAATTGTATTATTATCATATAGCTATACGTTAGCAACTGCTTTAAAACAAGGCAGGATCTTTCTGAAACAATAGCAACGGGAAATTATGGATTGTTACATAAACATGACTTACACGTGTCAACATACAAGGTATATAGCATACAGCTGTTGGATATAATTACAGCAGCGTAAAAGAAAAGGCAATTTTATGACCTTTTGCAAATTATAAGTTTTTGGATAGTAAAAATCAATTTTTTTTTTAAGAGGAAGCATGATGTTCACGTGATAAAGGTAAAATACCACAGCCATATTGTTATGTGCTTTTTAGATGTTTCTAACACGATGCGCTGTCGACCTTTTTTGACTTTGGATATACGGAAATCCACCGAGACTTCACGGCTTTGGCACTGTGGACGAGGGTTCGTGAACAGGGAGGTGGTCGCAATATTCCTACCAGCTATCTAAGATCCAGATGAAGGCCAACATTTTCAGAAAAAATACAAAATTATTAAGAACATGTTGGAGCAGGGGATTGAATCCACGACCTATTGATTGTTATCTATACGGTATGAGCCCAATGAAGTCAAGAAGCTATTTAATTCTAAAATCAATTTTTATACTGTTACTGTTCTATAGTCAATAATTGTTGATACGTAACTTTTAGCTGATAGTATTATCATTTCTCAGACGTCACTAACTCAATTTGAACTGAAGATAATAGATGGAAAAATTGGTAAATGATGAAATCTGCGTATACTTTTTTGTACTTTGTTACTAAAGACAATATTTAGTTAGAGGCAAGTGATAGTAATTATGATAAGAATTTTTGCGTTCCGGATATGAAAAATTTTGGCTTACATAAAATTGAGTCTAGTATGACAGGTTTATAGGAATGTATTGAGTGTTTCATTAATATTTTGCATGTCTGTGTTAATTTTCTTCTTACATTAATTCGTTTTTTTTACAGATCGTTCCGATATTATAGTATTCCTTGTTATATTTTTCTCTTTTATTTTTTGCTTTAACCACTGTTCCACTAGCAAAGATAAATAAAGATTAAAATATTCTAGCCATAACAAACCCATAAAATAAATTTAGTAAGCAATAAATTAAAGTGAAATAAAAGTAATAAATACGGAAATTTAATCTTTCCTTTTGTTTCTACAAACAGCCATGTTAATTACTGGTAATTGTTCATTGCATCATATACAACATTTCTTTTCAATACGACTCAAGAGGCAATTATTTAAATTAATTATTATTTAACAAAGACCAAAAGCAATTAAACAAGTTTTCATTATTTATCATTATATATACTGTACGTACACCGTGTGTTCCAAAATAAATGACGATGGAGTTTGATTATGTATTAAATTTAAACTATATATATAGGGACACCAATAAAATTCTAGTTATTTTCAAATCCAGGCTGTAAATATAGTTCAAAGATATAAAATTCGACTACTATCAATTAATCAAATGCAGTCTATTTTTTAATAATATTAGTTATGACTGGGTTTCACAAAATTCGAGTAGACTTCGAACAAGTCTAAATTAATTAGATAATGGGGCAAATACTTATTTGTGTCCGTTTCACTGATCGCTTTCATGTTGATCAGATTTCTGTGCCCTGCCAGATATTATTACAAAACAATATATTGTTTACCCGGGATTCAAACCCGGAGCTCTTGCTTAACGCAATGTTACGCAACGCGTTTAACCATTTAGCTACAGAGCCGGACAGTAAGAAATGGCCATGGATTTGAGACTTTTTGTAAGTATACTATACAAATCAGAACCCACTCGATTTATTAAAATGAACGAGATCCAAACGTGATCTTATTATCGCGAGCGGACGAAAAGATACAGGAAAATTTTAGATACCGTTTAGGAGGAGCACCTGCGCAGGTCGGTGCCCTGAATCAGCTTAAAAGATCTTGGAAAATGAGATCGTTGGGATACAAACTAATTCAAAGGTGAACGAACTCAGATGTCCGAGATTATGCGATTTCTTCAAAAACGTAACGGAATCGAACCCGAATCTTTAATTGTTTAACTGTATAATAAAACACGGTGACGGTTGGATAACCTAACTATCTTCATAGTGGTACAAAGATTTGATGGGCTCGTTAGTCTATCGACAGCAATGTACAGCTAATAATCGAAGAGACATGTTTCTAATTTTTCAAATAATAATTTTTCCGAAACATCTTCGTTTGGTAATCTGAATTATAAATGGTTGGAAGATCTAAATTCCGTCCGGTTCACGAACCACCGTAAACGGATGAAAAAGCCGTTAAGTCTAATCGCGTTTCGACTTCAGTCTGTGGATTGCCGAATATCTATTATGTAAACCCCATGATTGTATGTCCTCCTCTACCTATATAAAAAAAAGAAAATGGCTGAGAGAGTCAGCAGTTTGTGGCCTGATATAGAATAAGCTAAATTATAAATTAATGAATTGTTATTAATAGAATCATATCTTTTCGTGCAGAATATTTGAATTTAAACGTCGAATATATTACATAAATTCGGAAAAATCCACTGTCAACGATGATACGCAGTGTTTTTTTTATTAAAACGCAGATTCGACACGCTACAAGAACAATGTCCTTTCAACAGAGAAGACAAAGCCTTTTTACATAGCATCAATAATTTAACAATATGTATTTTCCTATTACAATAGCAAAATCTTTATAGTTTATGTGACAAAAGATTTTGTTAATAGTGAAAACTGGGGATAAAATAATATTTTAAATGTTACAATAAAAGTTGAACAATATTATGTAAAAATGTAAATTGGTAATTTTTAATTATTAATTATAAAGAACAATTATTAACCTTCTTTACCAACCTCGAATACTTACAATACATTCTCAAATCGCTGTTATATTTTAATACGCTATTGTAACATATGGATACAAGGTATTTTAAAACAAAACGTAATTGCTAAAAATTTTTTGGAAACGGTATGACGATAATAGTTAGATAATGTGCTCTATCGAATTGCACGTTTTTGTGCTATTTCAAATAAATGTAAACTTAATAAATATTCGTTTATTTTCTATTTATTTTATAATTATTACCGATATAGTAATTTAAAAAATAATCCAACTAACAACAAAAATCTAGAAACACCGAGTGAAGAGTACTGTTTGCCATCTAGTGGACAATAACGAAAACATTATAATACAACAGTCTAACATTTCAATGATTGCAACATAGTTTCAAGCGTGTCATATAGGTGGCGTGGTTATCAAAATTATGAAAAATATAAATTCCATTACTGCCATCTACTTGAGAACGCTTGACCTATTATTAAGATCAGTGAACAAGCTCCAACTGTTACAATATTATATAGATAGGTGGCGCTTAAATCAAATTTACAACAAGTTAACAAATGTAATTTGTTTGGTATCAACTAAAATAATTCAAATAAAAAAAAATACTTATAAATTACAGAATAGTTACTTAATATATTATTTCTATAACATTTTTTTTGAAGCTTACCAGTATCGTTGAGTAACCCATGGATATCTGTTGTCGAGCCATCGGCTGACATAGCTGAAACAATACAAAATATAATTTAGTCATTACCAGTTAGTCAATAATATAGTCAAAACCATATTAGTGATGATAAGATTATGTATCAATTGCAAAATCTCTCTATTTGGAACTCAATAACTAATACAGTTTCTGAAATGTTTGTGTAAGGAAACATATTATGTTCTAAGAAGAATTACTTGTCTTACTTCTTCTTAGAACTTATGGAAATCATAATATTTAACGCTTTCAAGTTACATCTGCTGGTCTTACTAATAAATAAATAAAAAGTTCTTCGGGATAGATACTTTTAATTATATAAACATTCTTTATAGAAAAAATGCCTCGTGTTTTTCTTTTCGAGAACCTTCGGGAACAAATTAATCGTTGTAAATGTCATCCGATCTAACTGATGGTGCGCGTGATGGACGTAAATAAATAATTTTATATAATCAACCATGGCGTTGTTTATTTAATACGCGTAATAATACGTTGAATTTTGCGCGCAATGGTCGCTTCGAGGTCGTGCTAACCTGAGCGTGACGATCTCGCGAGATGATTGACGATCACACTTGACAGTGATAGGGTATTTTTATTACCTATATAGCCCACAAACAATATACTGTCATTTAAATAAAACACTTTAACGGTTTAATTAGAGATATATATATTAGTTAAACTTATTTAAATTTTATTAACTAAGAAGTGCATTTTTAACAATTTATTAGATACTGAAAGAATGTATAGATACCATGGTTTATCACCTATATACTTTTATGTGCCTTTATTCTTAGGGGCATAAAATACATTTTCATAAATACTCGCAGAAGTACAGTAAGTATGCCGATATACATCTTATCGCCTTTGTACCAATTCCTCGAAAATAAAATTAAAAATTATTTTAATGTACTTTAGTTGCGTTACAAATCAAAATATTGTAATGTTTTAATAATAATCGTCTGTTAGTATGTTCATTGTTTATTTTTTAGGGGCTTTAGATATAAGAATAAATTATATAGCTTTACTTATTTCTATAGGTATAATATTAAACAGCTTAGCTTCTCTTAAAATATCGACAATAGCTGACACTCTATTGTAAATTCGAGTACAGACTTTGACATTTCACTCTTGGCGTGTTAGCTTAAAATTTGGTGTTTTTTCTGTATAATTTGGAAGGATGCAGAAAAAACAGCAAAGTATGCTTTTCTTAGTATAAAACTTAATTCTATGCTGATAAGAGTAGTTCAATTTAACGTAGTATAATTTTTTATCAGTCTGTTTAATTATAGAACCTGCGGGTAGATAATAAAAATAAATTAACCATTCAAATAGTATACATCGTAATGGTGTCAGCCGTCAGGTGGCATGCCTATTGTTTGCAAACAAAATAACGTGCGTGGGCGACTTTTTACGAAGTTCAAGGCAGGTTGTAACTATTTGTACTGCACAGTAGATTGTATTACTAATTATTGTTGGTTTTCGTAGAATTTCATTAACATAATATTCGTTAAGAAGAGGTATTTTAATTAATAATTAAATAATTGAAATATTTCAAGACTTCTCGTAATAAAGGCATTATCATTACTTTTTTTAAGAACAGTAAAGGACATATCAATATGTCGAATGTAACTAATCTTACGAAACTTATATTTTATGTATTTATATTGGTACTTATTTCCAGTATTGCACCATATAAAAATCGCTTTCCCATTTCAACCTTTTTGTGTTGAATATAGTGTTCTATGGAGGCCCCAACTCCAACAATAGGAGTGTTGGAAACTGGGTAATAAAGTGTATACCAAGATCAGTTATCCTTAAACTTTAAATATATATTTATAAAGCATAATTATATCTTCCGTGTCATTACTCCTAATTGTCTCGTTTATGTCAATCAGAAGTATGAAAGCTAACTTGAAACATATAAGCATAGACTTTAAAACCACACCCTTTTTTTAAATAAAACACTTTAACGGTTTAAAACGCGACCCATGATAGTTAAACTTGTTTGAACATTATTTTTAACTACGGCCCGACGTTTCGGATGCTTTGCAGCAGCCGTGGTCACGGGAAGAGAGGGTCTCTGTGTACTACTCGCGTAAGCTACAGACAGTATTTAACCCTTAGCTTATTTTATTTTAGCGAATAATTGAACCTAATAAGGGCTGATGATCTTTCATACTTAAAATAGGCCGTTACAAGGATGGAAATCGTTTTACTAACTCAAGGTGAAGGAAATTGTAATTATCGGAAGTACAGTGCACAAACAATACAGAGGTCAAAAAGCATCTGTATTCAAGCGTTGCGCGAGCGCACCAAATGAAGCGGAATTATAGCCGTTGACACTGTCTTGTTGTGTGGTAAGACATAAATTATATTCAACTAATATTACCGCTGTTAGTAAAGTTGCGGCCTCTTTGCGTTTTAGAGTTCATTAAAACATATTTATTGAAAAATTTACCTTCGAATTACCCTCGCCAGATGGTGATATAAATTGTTTATTACTAGCTTGTGTGCTTAACTGTAGCTTTGCGATATCACTTATCTCAGTTGTGTTTTAAAATCATTTACCTTAATTTTATATTACAGCATTCACAATCTGCATAAGCGAGATCATTATAACAATAAACATATATTATCTCAAAATGAATAAATCAATTCCGGGCATGATTCAATTCTTACGTAAATTGATAATTAATATTAACTATCTGTATTTATTTATAAGCTGAAGCCAGTGTAACTAAAATCTTGGTATATTCAACTGATTTAAATAAAATACTTTACGGTTTCAAACGCGATATTTATAAGTTAACTTATTCACTATTAATTTTAATTACTGTAACTTATGTCAAAGTTGCTACGCTAGCGCCATCTGCTTTGTCGTAGTTGGTTTTAGGAGAAACTTGCGTAAACTACAGATAATATATATTTCACCGACGTTGAGGGTAATAGAGAACAATATAGTATAAAAGTAGAAATAAACATTAATGTTAGTAAACGTTATTTTAGTAATTTTGCAATATTGTATTTTCAATATCCTATAAATGAAATCTTCTATTTGCGTCGTTACTCGCTACTTTGTACTCTCACTTGTTTTCCATTTTCTAATGTAAGTTGTTATTTGTCTTCATAATATACGGGTATTTTTAATTACCTTTAAATAAACTTACTTTATTATTCTACTGACTTATATAATAAAGTAGTCTTGATAATATAAAAGCTTCAATACTTTGACTAGTGACAAACTTAAAGTTAAATTCCAGTATTCCTAAAATGGCTTTAAAATTATAAGAAAATCTATAAAATAAAATAATACGCATAAGAAAAGACGAAAATTGTATTTTTCTTAACACTTAATGTTTATATCGTGAGTCGTTCCTGAATGAAATTTTATTCTTATCATAAAGACGAAGTCACAGTCCAATGCATTTGTAACTAATAATATAAAATAATATTTTTTTACTTAGAATTACAATGACTTTAAAGTACGTAAAACATATTTGATAATCACCGTGACACTAGTAACATTGATAAAAATAAAACTAGGTCAAATATTCACACGTTTTTACCCAAACATAATAAAGAGCATTTACTAGGCTGTAAAGTATTTTTACAATAGAGCAGGACAGACAATCGCAAGTTTCACTTGGTGTTTAAATTCATCATCCACTTAAAATGTTAGCAAGATGTGTTATCGACCTATCTTGGTTTTAGACGTCCAGAAAGCCTCTATGGCTACAACTATAATGCAATAAATTTACGTTTCCATCTATTAATGTTGATTTTCATTAATATTCTTAGTACATATATAAACTCATTCTGTTAAGGAACCCCGTTCAGTTGAACCTTACAAGGCCCAACTTAATAGCGAAGTAACAATGGCTGATATTAGATAAGAAACAATTGTTATAATCTAAGACTTTATGACATAAGTGCTGGATTGTTAATCCTTTTAATGGTAAGGGGATAACAAATTATCAGGACTATATATAAATATACTCGCTTATATATATTTAGCTAAAAAACAAAATTTATTTTTCCAAACATCCTCCTCAGCTTTATAGATTAAAAATCTGACATTGTTTAGATTATTTAAAGAGAGATTATTCTATCATACATTTTTTTTTGTTTCTAGGACCGTTTTCGCATCGCACGCAACGGAAGCTCTCAAGGATCAAGAATTCTCCCCATTTTTCCACTGTTTATTCGATCGAATTCCTCGATAAATGGTTTATCCTACACAAAAAAAAAGTATCAATACAAACGAGCGGTTCTTGAGGTTAACGCGTTAAAACAACAAAGTGATGACATTCGTATAGATTTGCATCAACTATTTGGACTTGAGATTTTATATGTTAGCGAAGGAACTATTTGGAAGTATTTTTAAAGAGATTCATGCGAAGAAAGATTGCTAAAAAATCATAATACACACAAATAAGGTTTATAACTTAAATAAAGGTAATAAATTACATAATTTATAATAACGCAATAATAACGCTATAACCATAAATTTAATTGATATTAATACCATTTTTATTACTTCTACAAGTATGTATGAAAAGTCTCTCGTTAAATATTTTTAAATAAATGGCAATTTTTATGAATATTTTTTTTTTACATTTAGACGATTTTTGTAACATGGATTTTTTATCTATGGACTGTCCCGGACGGAATGTTCGATATTCCTACCATCCATTTAATACCAAATGTGTTATACACAACAATACAGTACACAAAACACAATTATTATTCTAATAAAAAGACAATGAGAAGTATCTAAAAGGAAATCCTGTTTATAAAACTTAGCATTTTGACCCATCCCTAAGTTTTATTGTTAAAATCAGAGCTAGAAATATATCTAGACTTCACAGTATATACTATGTTCGTGGGGTAGCAATCGAGGGGTTCACCCTTCAACCCTAGACGTAGGGAAAACGTCAATAGAAATAATGGAAGGCTCAGTCCCTTGTTATTCACCATTTACTTTTTGTTTCACTTGTTTTTCATTTGGAACTGCATTTAAA